TTCTTTTGCTTACATAAATGCAACCACATTAAAAAATTAAACCAAGTAATCTTTATTCTTGTGAAATATTAAAGTTATAGTTCACTCAAAAACGAAAGTTCAGTCATAATTAGTTTACCCTCATGTCTTTCCAAGCCTGTCTGATTTTCTGTGTGATTTTTGTGGAACATGAAATAAGATATTTTGAGAAATGGTTGCCAAAATGGTTTTGTTACCAAAATCATTTCATTTCTTTTTCTGTTCTGAAGAAGAAACAAAGTCATACACGTTTGGAACAACGTGGCAGAAGTCAGAAAGAGCTTTATTGTCAAGTATGTTTGCACGTACAAGGAATTTGTTTTGGTGACAGAAACTTCCAGTACACAGAGACAACAACAACAACAACACACAGATATAAACAATAAAGATATGAATAAAACACACACACACACACACACACACACACACATATGTATGTATGTATATATATATATATATATATATATAAACAAAAATAGACTTGTTTGTATTGTATGTACAGGTATGCTATAGATGGAACAGAATAGAGTAAGATGTAGGGATGGACTAAGTGGCATTGCACATATTTTTATTGCACAATGGGGAGAGCATTTAACTGTTTACATTTAACATTTAACCCTTTTAAAATAGCCAATAGCGTTCGTTTATATCGCAGCTTGGGCTATAGCCGTTCAGAGCCGTTGAGCTCTGTAAAGCCACATTTGACAGGGTATGCCAGCCACAATCTCATCCATATTGCTACAAACTTTTCTTGTGCCTGGCTGTCCTGGTGTTCGGTGATCTATAGTGCCAGCCAGACGGCAAAAGTTCAAAAAGGAGATGGCTTGGATGTGAGAGATCCAGAGTGATTTGATGCGGCTGTTTGACATGAATTTCCCCAGTCTCACTAGCTGTTGCCTATAGAAAGCTGGCGATCCATTGACTGATAGAGCTAGGAACAGAGAGCTGGGTTAATTTGGTCTGGAGGAGTGTTGGGATGATAGTGTTGAAGGCCAAACTGAAATCCACAAAGAGGATCCTCACATAAGTCCCCGGTTTGTCCAGATGCTGCAGGATGAAGTGCAGTCCCATGTTCGCCACATCATCCACAGACCTGTTTGCTCGGTAAGCAAACTGCAGGGGGTCCAGTAAGGGTCCAGTGATGTCCTTCAGATAAGCCAACACCAGTGTCTCAAATGACTTCATGACCACAGATGTTAGGGCAACAGATCTGTAGTCATTAAGTCTTGTGATTTTGGGTTTCTTTGGAATGTGGATGATGGTGGAGCATGTGAAGCATGAAGGGACTTCGCACAGCTCCAGTGATCTGTTAAAGATCTGTAAAAAGATGTGGGCCAGCTGGTTAGAAGAACAGGTTTTCAGACAAGCTGGTGAAACACCGTCTGGGCCTGGTGCTTTCCTTCTCTTTTGTTTCCTGAAGACCTGACACACATTATCTTCACTGATCCAAAGTGCGGGGTGTTGCTGGAGGTATTGATGGCTGTGTAGAGAGATGGTCAGAGCGGGTATAGGGTGTGAAACCGGGAGTTTCAATTCTACAGTAAAACACTTTCAGATCGGGTGTTGATTCACCTGTGCTAAATCTTGTAGTTTTTCATGTCTTTCAGGCCTTTTCACACTGAAGCAGAGTCTTTAGAGTAGCTCCTCTTAGGCACTCTATTCTCCTTTGTCAGTGTGTTCCTGGCCTGATTGTCCAAGATTATGTCCCCACTCCTGTAGGCATCCTCTTTGGCCTGACGAAGATGTCTGAGTTTTGCTGTGAACCATGGCTAATCTTTGTTGTATAAATAAGTCCTGAATGCATATATCCTCACAGAAACTGATATACTATGTTACAGAATCTGTAAGCTCATCTAGATCAGTGGCAGCAGCTTCAAAAACACTCCAATCAGTGCAGTCGAAACAGTCTTGCAATGCTCGCTCTGTTTTGTTGATCTATCTCTTTACAGTCCTTTACAGGGAGGAGCTGCTCCCATCAGTTTTTTTGTGTTCTGCGTGCGACTCAAATGCTCTGCTCTCCACCCAATTATAAAAGCTGATGTCGGTTAATGAAGATTTAATGGATGAACTCGCTGCTCGATTGGACTCAGGTCGTGTCCGAAAGTAATAAGAGTTTCAGTTTTATGGACGTCGCCATCTTTGATATTACTTCAAAGTCACTGTCGCTATGGTAACTGGTAACAAATACGGGCTTGACTCCCGTTGCACGTTCATACAGACAGTATTCGAGAAGATACTGTAAGTTGCTGTGTGAACGGGACATTTCGAGTCTCACACCTGTAAGTAAATGCGGTTGCCAATCCCAAAAACTGACAGTGTGAACGTAGCCCTTAAGAAGGGTGAGCAAATGATGACAAAATGTTCCCATCCTTTAAGACAAAAAGAAAGGTGTGGCATCTGTAATCAGTATTAATACACTAGGTTTCTTGGTTATTACATACAAGGAAATTGAATTTCCTAAAAAATGTGTTCCTCAAAATAGTTTGTTCTAAAAATAGGTTACTTTTTTTATAAGGTATATGTGTGTTGGGGGGGGGGGGGGGGG